AAATTTAAACTTAATTAATAAAAAAATTTATTATTAATATTTATTTGAGGTATCTATCTTTTTGCACCGGCCTATATTATCTTTAAGGCTATATATATAGCATATTTACATACTCAACACGTGTTATTTTAGTGGAGAGATTGAAAGTAACTTACGAAAACAACATAGGAATCAGACAAGGGGGATAAAACCTCGTGTTTATCTTGGATCTAAGCATGACGGTATTTTAAAAATGTATGTAAACGCTTGTGAGTTTGAGGTTGGATTTCTCGAAGTAGTTGGAAGTCCAACAAAAGTTGATGTAAAAGGTTATTATGAAGATCTTGAAAAATTATTTAAAGGTTTGTAATTATTCTTTTTTTTTTTTTTTTTTACAAGATTTCAATAATATTTATTCATTTATTAGCGATGCAAATTTCAATTTATTTTCAACGCTGTCATCATCTTAATCGTAATGCGATGGAAGAAAAATTATCATGGATTCAAAGCTTTGGAGTCCTAGTTTATCGTATGTGGCTTTTTCTGTTTGTTGGTTAACCATTCGTTATAACTGACTTTTTATTATTTTCAGAACGTAAAACGACAATTTATGTGATGCATCGTTCGAAAGGGGGGTTAAATCTTGTGGACGTTTTAGCAACTTTTACAATTCCTGAAAGTGCGGATCAGGCATATGTTCTTGAAGAAATTATCAAGAAAGTTTATTTTTTTAAGGTATAAGTCTTTATAATTTAATTTATTTTTACCATTTAGTATTGCTTATAGTATCTTTGTGAATAACACATGTTATTTATTTATTTTATTTATCTAATTTTATATTTGTTTTGTAGAGCAGGGTTATGGACTACTATATTAAATTACAAGACATTTCGCGAGAAGTAGACATATCAGATTCTAACGAAGATGAAGAAATATTGCTGGCGTCTATACCTAATTAATACAGTGATGGACAAAACCCATGTCACTTGGTTTTTTTTTTCGTGACCTTTGTCATTTGTCATATGACATTATGTCACAATACATTTAGTCACTTAGTTACAAATAAAGTAACAAAAATTATATGTTAATAAAATAATATAAAATGGTATAGGTTACTATATTACTAGTTATGTAGTCACTTAAATAGCTAATAAAATTTAGATTATTTATCAAATTTATAAATTTATATTATATTTATCTAACAATTTTAGTAGTATAAAATAGCAAATCTATTATTTAAATTAAGTAATATTATACTAAAACTATGCTAAGTTATTTTGGATTTATAATTATTTAAGTGACTAGTCACTTAATTTTTAGAGTGACAAATGACTAGTAACAAAGTCATCTAAGTCATCATAGTCATCAAATGTGACTGTCCATCACTGAACTAATACCTTAACAGTTTTGACTATATACAATTCACTGCAGACTTTTTATATGCAATTTTCTTTGTTTGAACAATTCCAATTTATAAATTACAGAAGCTTAACAGTAAATTGTAATGATTAGAACGTTTCTACAGGCTTTACATTTGTCAATGCTCTTATTAAGCTTATTCGAAGTATGTAGTTCAAAGATTATAAAGAGCACACTTATAAGGGCATAATAATTTATAAGGACATAATAATTAGGTACAGTACAAAAAGCTGATGTAGAAAATTTTTTTAAGTTGCTTAATCACTCTGCCTTTGTAATCTAATTGGTCGAGTTAAGGAATTAGTACGTGCGACCATATGACCTACTTAAAATTATTTCTTTTTTATAATATTCACCTTTTTGTTAGTTCATAAAGTCAAATTTGATATATGTTATAATACAAACCTATTAGTGTTAATACTATGTATTTTTTGTTAATTTTTTTATAGATCAATATTTTGAACCTTCTTGTTCAATAGATTAAAGTCTTTATAGAATTCTTTAAACCATTTGGTGTTCTGTTAATGTATCATAATTTTCATTTCTAAAACATTCACTTGTATATTTTGATCTAATAAATTGATTTTTTATGTCATTTCGGATCTCTTTAAACAAACCTCTACTAATTCATTTTCAGCACGATACTCATTTATTTTTTAACAAATAATAATTTGTATGAATATAGTTACTCTCTAAAGAATTAATGGTTTTAAAAAAAAACTAGCTAATTTTATTTTGTCTGATGAGTCATTGGTTACTGTATGACATTTTGGACGTTACAATTTAGATTTACATGGAAAAATTTTATATAATTTGTCTTCATCATTGTAGTACATACTGTACGTACTGTACAACGATAATGCATTCTAAAGTACTGTTTCATGTACTGTACTATAACACTTTTATAACATTACCATACAGTATATATTTTAATAAATCTAAGTGCTAGCTAGCATTTTGAAAAGTATCCTGGTACTAATGGCCAATCAGATTAGAAAAGTTTTTGGCTGATATCTACATGCGTACGTACGTACATCACTGCTTAAATTTGATTCAACTTGAGTAAATTAAAGATTTTAATTGACATGAAACTTATAAGAATCACGACATTTTAAGGAAAATTATCCAATACTTTTTTATTCTTTATTCGAATTATTCAAAAATTTTTAAATGATACAATTTGAGTACAATATCAAGTTCAAGATCTTCAAACGTTAATATACTGTTAAATAAAATTATTTCTAGTGTTTTAAAAACTCTGATATGGTGGTTCGGATCTAGGTTATGTAAATTCGAATTTGGGGTTAAAGCAAAGATCAGGCCTAAAAATCCATATCAAGTCAGATTAGGCCTAAAAAAAATAATGTTGGGCGATTTAAAATGTGCAGTCGCTTCCAAAAGTTTCACGGGTACACAAAAAAATAATAAAGATTTATGCAAAAAAGAGCGTAATAATAAGTTAATCATTCTTTAATTAAACAATATAAATACAATTCAAAAATGCAAACCAAAATTTATTTTCGTACTTCTTTTATTTAACCACGACCATGCCTAGTGATATTTAATTAAATAACTTTGAAAAAAGACAAATCATTGGAATGTTGATATTTAATATACTGTATATCGATAAAGTATGACCGTTATGCATTAATTTTATATTAATTTCTGCAATATATTAACGTAAATATCATTGATTTCATAAATTTTTGGTATTTTTTTAAAAAACTTTTGGAGGAGACTGTACGTACAGTACATCGTTCAATGGCTGGATATTAAAAATTCATTATATTTAAGACACATATTCAATTCTTTTCTAGCAATACGGCCTTTGCCTTAAGGCGATTCTTCTTTAACATTCATTTTTTTTAAAGGTAATATTGGATAAAAGCCACCTCAAAATTAATTTGATTGTTAGAATGTAAATTGCAAAGCTTTTTAATCAACTGAGTTTCATAGATTGCCAAAAACCTGTAGCTATAATGATCTGCCCTATCAATATGGAGCTTCTTGAACGTATACGTACATACTAGATTATTGGCGTAGTGATTAACCACAATGATCTGTACCAATCAAATCCATGCGTAATGAAATGATATATCAGACCTCTGTTTATTGTGAATATCTTTGAAAATTTCCACCTTGCGCTTCGCTAACCGTCCTTTCTTTTAATTGTAAATTATAAATAATATAACAAAAATATGTAGTATTTCGTATATAATCAGGGTATGTACAGACATTGCTGCAGTAATTTCAAATACGTGGTTAGCAAAACTTATGAAATTTGGCTTTTAAAATGTACCCTTTGAAGGTTGGACAGGAAGAACATTACAATTATTCTTTTTTCTATGTTAAGATATCGCTTAGGGTAGGCTATATGAAAAGCTTCTTTTGTTTATAGAATTTTTGTAAACTGAAAATGCATATTTTGGTATTTATTTGCGATTCATTACTCAAACTTATAAAGCAAATATTTCCTCATTATTTCCGTTTTAATTAAGAAATTTGGTAATTACCATTATTCTGGACTGTAAAAATTTTGAAGTTATGAAAAAAGCATACAAATAGTTCTTGGAACAATAATATTAAGATTGTGAAGAAACGAAAGAGTGTACTTTTTTTTCGAAACTAACAAGTACACGTATCGGTAGAAGTAACTCTGAAAAATGGTGTTTAATTTTGCTAAAATTTTATAATTATATTATTGTTTGTACTCAAAGTTAATGATGATTTGGAATATGTTAATTGATTGATAGTGCGTCACCAACCTAACACACATTTAAGGGATGTAGCCATTTATATAAATTACATCATTAAATAAAAAAGGAGGGAACGACACATCAATAGCAGCGATATGTTAATGCGACTTTGCCTATATAGACGATCGTGCCAAAATAGTTAAATTTATATTTACATATAAAACTTTTAAAACTGTTAGAAAATAAAAAAAGGTAGCATAATATATAATCTTATTAAGAAATAATTATCTTTAATTGCACATTCATTGTGTAAGCATTTGAACCTTTAAAGCGATTAATTTAATAATCTAAACACCAATATAAAAGGATTAATAAATTTGTTTATCTATAAATACTGTAAGCTTAAAATATTACTTACCAAGAGGAGCTTCAACAGAACCGATAGGTATACTTGGTAAATTTGCTAATACAGCATAGTTAGTTTTAAAGAAATAAAATATATATAATTTTTAAAATAAATACCTTTAATTGCACTTGATATTCTTTGAGTATTTATCTTTTCGCTTGTGTACATAAAATCTGGATGTTTTGGTGAGATAATTGGCAATGCTTTTATTATTTTATCTGCATCTAAGAATTGCTTTTTAACTTCATTTGTATCAGCTGAAAACACCATACTATTATTCCATTCAGTAAGCTTTTTTCCAAACTTCATAAGCATCAGGTCGTTTTTGCGGATCTGAATCCATGCATTGCTTAGCTAATTCAGTATAGCAATCAGGAGTCCCAGGAGCAAATTCAGGTCGTAATCCTCTGCATATATCTAATGAAAGACTAAGGTCAAAT